GATATCACTACCCCCATGTATAATCCCGCGTACATGCAGCCCCCTCTTTACAACTCCCCCCACCCCTCAATTATAAAAATTTTCTAGATTTCAGAAAACTGAAGGTTAGAAACCACGGTTTCTAAAATTTAGAAACTTTTTTGTAAAGCTGATCCACTTTTTTCTCATTGTACTTCTTGATACAAAGTATTTAAAAAACTTTAGCTTTGAAGAATTTGCGAATTCACTTATATATATACGGGGCTAGATTATATTATATTATATTAATTCATTTTATTGTTTTCTTTCCAATTTTTCATTGCGGTTAGATTAAATTGAATTTATTGGATTCTATTCCCATTGTAGTATACAAATTGTGGGAACAGTTTTTCTCATTTTCAAATGAAGAGATATTTATGTTAAATAATATGGAGGGTATTGATACTTTTTTTGGGATGATGATCTATATATTTTTCACAATTACAAGATTGTTCAAAAATTTCTTCATGTACTACATTTTTCATCTAACTATTTCTATCTTTTTCATTTTTTATTCTGCCTCCTTCTGTTCGGTTTTCCACCGAAGTATCCCTCGCACACTCTCGCCCGCTCGAATGCTTGCATGGCTTCGCACAACTGACCTGCACAACCGCTTAAAATGACCAGTGGCCTCTCACCTCTGACACCTGAGGCGCCACTTGATGAACAGGTGTCCACTGAACACCCCCATTTAAATTGGGGCACGTTCGGACCCTCGATGATCGACACCTACCACCTTGCGGTTCTTTAATCGGCCTCATTTGCATTTCGGCCATCGTACAGTGTACAGTTCCACGTATAACTGCTCTGCGTTATAAGTTCTGTGAACTATTTAATAATATTGTGACCCGCGCTATTTCTTTGACCATCTCAATAATTGTAATTAAACCGGCACGTATAAATATTGACTTTAACTTAATTAAACTGACTGTGTTTGACCAACGTGCACGTGTTGTGATTTTCGGACCTTCTCGTGCTCCTGTTAAAATCCGTTAACATCTCGCCCATCGATCCATAATTCCACAGATCTCAGACCTGGCACCGAACACCTTCAGTCATGCATATTTTCAATTTTTCACTTGCCCTCACTCTTGACAATGCCACGTATAATTGACCATGACTGAAAACGTTACTTTTAAGATAAACACCTACTCTTTCTAATGTCTATCCGTTGACATTTTTCTATGTACCCATAAAATTTTGGAATTCATCATTATTTTTCCTGTTCCTTAAATCAAGACGTACCAATAAATGCTTCTAAACTATTTAAGTCCCATATAAAAACTACGAGAATTTATATATTCAATTTTGCCCTGACTTCGTCCAATAATCGTTCATTTTCATATAACACACTTCAAGGTTTATTTTTCGAGGTTTGTAATTGACTTTAATGTTTAATAGTTTAATTACTGCATCCTGTCCATCTCTTAGATAAGCATTCTTCAAGTCATCCAATCCAATACCTCCCTAAGAAATTTTCTTTCTCAAGCACACTGGGTCGGATAGTGGAGAGAGACTATCAAAATTCCTCTTATTTACTTTTAAAGAATTATATCTATCAAGTGCATCAGGTACAGTCGTGAGTCGGGACAGGAAATCCTCGAAGGTAATAGTATATTATGTCATCAGGCGATAAAAGCATTATCTGGCGAATGTGGCTTTATAATCCGAGCCGAAGGCGAGGATTATAATCACATTCGCCAGATAATGCTTTTATCGCCGTGTGTCATACGATATTTTATGTCATTGGGCCCGAAAACTGCGATCTGACCGAGCAAAGCGAGGTTAGAATCGCGGTTTATCGGGCCTAATGACATAAAAGCGTTACATGCAAAGTGCCTCCATAGAAACACGTCATATGATTGTGGGCATTTTGGACAGACATCTCCACCAATGGAGCAGCTAGGGTCGTCAAAGTCAAATCGCTACTTTGCTTTATTTGCTTTATTTTTCATTTTATACCCTTGGAGAGTGTAACTTAATCCAGCTACTACTGTTTGGAATTCTGACAACAGAGAATATTTCTCAATTGCATCTAACAGTCGTGGACCATAAAAAAATTGAGAGCCTCCCCCAATAATTTCAAGTTCACAATGCGATTGCCAATAGGCTCCTCATGCATTGATTTTCCAATATCATCATCATCAAATCCAGTCCCTCGTCCCACCAGCTTTTTTCTTCTTCATCTTCAGATTCTCGTTTTTTTTCTTCATTTTGTAATTTCAGTTTTTTCACTGGTACATCGTGGATTTTTTCGTCCTGAACCACTTTAACTTTTCTGCCTTTATTTTGGTTGCGAACGTTCACTTGAGCAATCTACTGATTTAAACGTTTTTTCTTGATAAATTTCCCCTTAAATCGGAGCGAAGTGAAGTTACGATATATCGGTGATATAAAAACATGAAAAAAAAGAAAAAGTTGAGACCCAGGTAAAATAAGTGCTCAAAAAATCGTGACGAGATGCACCGATCCAATGTCCTCCGAGATTGTAACGATTCCGAAACTTTTGATGTTTTTTCAGACTGATGATATATCCTAAAAATTTATCGTGTAGTCTCGACGGCATCACTAGTATTTTTCAAAAAACTTCTTTCATGGCGCCGTTTCTTTTCTCCAAATAAAAAGAAGACAACGAATAAAACAGAAAATAGACGTGATATTTAGCCCTTCTCAACTCTCT